GTATCTTGGGCGCAATCGGATGCATGTCTGACTCGGACGCAAAGTTGCTCTGGGACCAACAGCAGACGAGGTGCAGATTGGCTGGCTGTATGGCGAAAACCCGGCAGAGCAAAACTTGACGGTCAAGCCCCTTTTAAGTGACGAGAGGCTCCTTGGTTACATGGGTTTGTTGATTCACCGGGATATTGAGATGAATTGAAATTTCACAGCCGCGAATCGCTCCATGGCTGTTCGTTTGCACAATATAAAAAGCCTGCACGTCCGCTTTTTCTTCGAGGCACACTCTTAGATTTGACATGGCCACTTTTAGATTCGACATAGCTCGGCCTCCATTTGATACTTTGTATTCCGAAAGCTTTCCTCAGAAACACCGGTCATTACACATACTCCTGTAAGATAGATGATTCGCGCTATGAAGCTCAACTATTTCTTCTCTCTACTCTCCACTGCGGCAGCCGTTGCCCTCCCGCTCAACGAACAAGGCTTCGTCCCTCCCGGTGGATGCTGTTTCACGCTGCATGATGCTGCTACCGACCGAATCATCAAGCAGACCAAAAATAACGGCTTTCTCACCCTCTCCGGCGACAACCCTGACGGCTGGTACTGCATCGATCTCTCTGATACGAGAAAAGTCCTCTGGGACGCCTTCAACAACGCATGCTTCATCAACCCCGACCAGGCGTTCCAGTGCCTGGACCCGATTCCCAGCAGCGACGTTTGGGGCATACAGGATGCCAACGAAGGGGCCCTGGTCGCCGTGAATGGTAGAACTGATTTCTACGCATGTGGAGAAGGAGTGTATACCAATGACAAAGGGGACTGTCGAGGTCTCAAGTTGAAGGCTTCTGGGTTGCAGGGAAGCTGTGAAAGCTTTAGGGGCTGAACCTACGTGGTGAACAAGCTTTGGTTGTACTCGGTTTACAGGTTCGGCAGTGGTTCGGTCTTGAGGGAGAGCGCGAGATCCGTTCAAAATGTGTATTCTCGATTCCATTGCGTTTCTTTTTCCCACAAAGGTCGTGTGTACGTGATGCTCTACCGCCAAAAGCTGATAGGAGGATTTCGATTAGCCCTTCATCTTGAATCTGGTTCAAACCCATGTGAACATGGGCGTGGTAAAATGACAAGCAGTCGGAATTCAGCACAACCAAGAGTGCCAGCAATGAGTCTATCTGCACTTTCCTAGGTTCATATAATCCAAGAGCGCGGTATACCTGGGGCAAAAAGGGTCTTTGCTTTAGCAGCCTTTTTTTTTTCGTAAACTCTCTTTTTTTGTCCTTTTTTAAGAGCGATTATTTGATTTTTTCCATTTTCCATTTCCATTTCTTTCTAGGTCCCTAAGCTTCCATACACGGCAAAGCCACGCCATTTCGTCCGGCACCAGCGTATCATCAAGAAATTACGCGCCTGTTTTTCTCTTTCAAAATCAATTCTTTTCTAGAAAATGTGCTTCGAATATATTCATGTATGTGTTAGTGTTGATATATTCATTTCCCATGTAATTACTTCAACCCGTCAACCCCATGCATGGCCACGCACTAAGAACCATCGTGACCGTGACCGTGAAATCTCAAATCGCACCCTGAACAAAAAGAAGAAGAAAAAAAGGGAGACAGAGAAGGAAAAGAGGGGGAGGGAGGTCATCAGCTGTAAAATCAGACATCTGGGGCTCACGGACACTGGTTACAGAAATGGGGAGGTCGGACGTGTGGTTGCTTATGCTTACGGTGGTTTTATTCCGACGGGTGGTTCGATTGATTATGGAGGTGCGTAAGCCAGCACTTATTGGACATGTCAGCATACGTCACTTCGATATACAAGTCAGCACTCACTATGTCTGTCACTTCAACTTTCGGTAACGCGTTGCAGAGAGTCAGATTCTCGCGTATGCTATACTTTACGGCGGTCTTCCACCACCGATACATTCCTTCCGCAGTTCTCACAGCTTGGCACCAACTTGGGCCGCCGCCACCCCCTCATCCACACCAAACACAATAGCCAAGTCCATGCGCAACTCCTCAGACGTTGTGCCCCGTCCCCGGGTCTCAATCTCCGCGTTGTGCTCTAGGAACCGCAGCAAAATCTCCCGCGAGACACGACTGCCGTCGCTGCCGGCATCGACGTACAGCAACAAGCTCGCGAGGATGTCTCCCAGGGCCCAAACGATTTCCCGAGCCTCGCCCATCAGATCCGCCTGGGATGTGCCCTCCAGGTGAGCCCTCCACTTGGCCCATTTGGCTATGGGATCCCATCCTCTGGGCCTGTCGATCTTGCCTTGGAAAGCACTCGCTTGGCGGACTACTTGATCCAGGGCGGCGATGCTACTGGCGCCCCCGCGGGGGTGCTTGAGCGCGCGGATCAGATCGGTGCAGAGCACATCTGTCGTGCCCTCCCAGATGGGCAATACGCAGGTATCGCGGTAGATGCGGGAGATGTTGAGATGTTCCTGCTCTTCGTTGTACAGATAGCCCACTCCGCCGAGGGCTTCCATGCAGGAGAAGAGCAGGGAGACGCTTGGTTTGCAAACGTAGGCCTTGGCGAGCTGTGTCATGATCCGCAGGAGCGGTTCAAGAAGTTTCGTCGGAGGCGTGAGGGCCTGTAGTGCGTGCGAAGAAGGGTGCGAGGAGCTGGGGCCGTGCTCGGAAAGGCCGAGTATGTACGACGTGTAGAATGTGACGAGCATGAGGCGGTGATAGTCGGCGGACAACTTGGCCAGTGTCCTCATGTGCAGCGAACTGTCGACGAGTCTCATCCTAGCCTTGTTCCCGGCGCCGACTTGCCGGACGAGCGAGTAGGCTCGTGCGATGGCTAGGCCGCGCCCGACGCCGCCGACTGCCGCGACGGCAGAGTGTATTCTCGTCAGGGTGAGGATGGTGCTGATCTCGTGGATGCCTCGGCCTTCGTCGCCGATGAGCCAGCCGCGCATGTTCTCGAGGACTAGTTCCGCCGTGGGCAGGGACTGCGTGCCAAACTTGTTCTTCAGCCGCTGGATGCGGACGCCGTTGAGGGTCTGGCCGTATTCATCGGGTTCGCCGGCGAGGGTCGTGGCATGATCATCATGTTTGCGCATAGGGGCGAGGAATGTGCTGAGCCCGCCGGCCGCGGTTCGGGCTAGCAGGACGGACATTTCGGAGTCGGTCGCGCTGGAGAACCACTTGAAGCCGTTGATTGTCCATGGGCCCAGGGGGATCTGGTCCTCTTTTGATGCCAAGCCCCCGGCTGCTGCTGCTACTGTGCTGGAGTCACGCGTGGCGACCGTCTCGGTGAGAGAGACATCACTTCCGCCCGTTCGTTCCGTCATCCACTGTCCACTTGTCCATGCGTATCCAGGCTGACGAGACGTTAGACGCTTGTACGCGCTCTCAAAGACCTTTCTCTCGTCGGCTGAAAGGGTAGCACTTGATCCGGGGTGTACGAGATGACGTCGGAGAAGAGAAGCAGCGCCGTCTTGCATGGCGGACGGACAACCGACGTTGGCGCAGGATCCGATCCAAAGATGGGTTCGCAGAAACTGTAGAGGACGGCAGTATGCCCCGTAGGATGATGATGTATCGTAGCCTGTGGCGACCATTCTAACATGTTGTTGACGGAGTAAGCACAAACACATATACGTACATACATATGTATGCATATATACGTACACAAACATGTAGTAGTTGGTCAAGTGATAAACAGACAAAGGCCGACGGACAGAACAATTCAGGAGAATCGAACACTCAGACTTACCCCTTTGCGATGGCAAAATCTTTCAAGTTGCGCCATCCCTCTCCCGTCACAAGTTCACCCTTCCAGCGCCCGAAAGCATCTCGGCCAGACCCTTTGACATAGGGCTTGTTGTGCTCTGCATCCGTGACCCACGCAAATACCTGGTCGGATATCACATCCTTTCCAAGAGACGAGACCTCTGGTCCGGCCTGGGAGATGACATTACGGGATAGGAACACTTTTTTTTCATCCGAGTTAGTCTTCAGTTGAAATAGTCTTGAAGGAAAGAGAAAAAGAAGAAAAAGAAGAAGAAAAAGGGCGCAGTTCCTGGTTCCTATAAACAAGGGGGGAGAATGGTCAGACGAGGCGGGGAAGGGGAGGGGAACACAAAACGCCTTCTTCAAGTAGAGAAATCATTCATCTACTCTCTTGCTTGCAAAACTACACTCACAGTTGAAGCAGCGCTTAAAGGATTCATCATCCAGCGCCTGATTCTTCAGAACGGGCGCCGTCTGGAAGAATCCTCTATCTGCACCGGATGACTCCATGGATTACAAGCGGCGACGCATGTACGAAACAACACAACTATAACAAAAAAAGACGAAACAAAATACGGCTGACACGAGATCATGGCAAAAGTTCAGTCAAACAGGCCGAGGCGCAAGACGGGCAATGTTATAGGTGCTGGATTCGTGGAGTGGCCGAGGCACATGGCCGAGGAGTGGATACCGCAACATTGAAAGCACCAGACTTGGACCAGACCAGACGTCACCCGCCCATCACCTTGAACGTTGGCTGGGAGGATTTCAGGAGGTCCGAGGGCGGCACTCGATCTGATTGCCGGAGCGCATGGCTCGCCGCCGGTCGCTTACATCCGGGGGTTTTCTCCAGGCGTTGGAGTCTGGCCTGGGCCCCCTTTTGTTCGTGAGTCTGGCTGGATGTGGGAATGTGAATCTTGTACATTCTGGCTTGAGGCGTTTTTCTTAGTCGCGAGTGGTGCGCGGAATGGATCAACGCCTTGTACCATGTCTCAAAGACGCTGAGCACCAACTGTTCGAGTTGGTAGTACGACAATGTTTGAACATGACACGGAATTGATGCCAAACAAAGCCCTTGTTCCTGCTGTGCACAATTGCAGTCGCTGAGCCTCACGTGCCAAATGGCATCCGTGCACGCTACGGCCACGGCACCCATTCTGTCCAATCGTCTAGCGACGAAGACCGTGTTCCACCGCCAAGACCCCACCATGGTGGTGTCCACCGACTTAGATAGAATTAAGATCGCACTTTTCAACAAAAGCCGCAGTCGTCTAGGGGTGAGGACATTAGTTTGTGGTCATCAGAGCTCAAACACTGGAAACCGAGGTTCGAGTCCTCGCTGCGGCATGTTATTTTTTCTCTGCGCGGGCTTTGCATGCCCGGCCGAGCTGTTTTCCCGCCGCAGTCGTCTAGGGGTAAGGACACCAGTTTGTGGTTACATACGATCATCACTGGAAACCGAGGTTCGAGTCCTCGCTGCGGCACGCGCCAAGTGTGTGCACTTCTTTTTTTTTTTTTTTTTTCCGTCTTGGTTGGCCTGCGTGCTCAATCGTGATGGGGTGCGTGATGGCCCCTGTCATGAACAAATGGCAGCATCGCAGCACGTGCTCTGAAGAATGTCCATCCATCATGTATCATGTCTGCGTGCATTGCGTTGAACGCGTAATATGAGTGATGATGAAGACGACGAGATGAGGATTCGTGTCCGTTGAGGTTTGATCAGAACACGGGAAGAGCATTGAGCAGCGTTGCGGTCAAGCTCTGGCACAATGAGCCTGAAGACGAAGTGCAAGCAAGCTACGTGCAGGCCCCGCAAAGCTGGTCGGGTTATTATCAAGCTGGCACGTCTGGTGCATGCGGGCTAGCCTCTGTGGGCTAGTAGCTAGTCCATGTCCTTTTTGCCCCAGACTGGATGGCATGTCCGGAACATTGAATACTGACCGACCGACCGACTGACTGACTGACGCCTTCGGCCCTTGATTGCCTCACAAGAGAAGAGCCAAGACCATGATGCAAGCAAGGGTCGGCCTGTCCATCTGCCTTGCCTGTTCTGTCTGATGGATGGAATCGAATCCAACGACCAGCACACCAGCAGACCACGGGGCCCATCCACCGCCAAGCGTCGTTGTTGAGGACCTTGAGCCTGCATGTTCATATGTTCATTTGTCATTTATTATGCCGAAAAAGACGAGAGAAGACAGGACACATTCGCCGCAGCCTTGCAGCAACCTCATGACAGTCGGACGGGCGGACGGACGGACGGACGGACGGATGGGTCAGACAGACACGCCCTCCAGATAACGGCAGCAAACCCCCTCCCCCCCTTTTTTTCTTTCTCCCTTCTTATCATGTACCGCGAGTGAGCGGGCATCAGTATGAGAGTGATACTATGATCATCACCAATGTTTGGGGGGCAGTAGCAAAGTCTGTGTGAGTTTGTCATCGATGACATTGGAAGAATGGTCAGTCACTCTCACTAGGTTTGCGATCCCAACCCGGAGGCCACATGCACAAAACCGGACTGGAGGGAGGAGCACCCACGTTTGTTGGCGCCAGAGTCGCTCTGTGGAATTGGGCGCCAAGCGCAACAAACGATGCCGTCTCCGCTGCATAGAGCGAATTGTCTACTTCTTATCTGGTGCAAATCCTGGTCTTGTGAGTTACGGTGAGGTGATGGGACCTGATCAACAACCTAACAATGTTTCCCGCGAGTTTCCTTTTTTCTTCTGCCTCTTTTAAACACGTCAATAAGTAAAAAGTGCTGTGATGGGTCTGGCATTGAAAAAAAAAAAAAAAAAAAAAAAAAAAAAAAAAAAGA